CCACGAAGGCTCGGCCGTAGATCTTGGTGATGGTTCCTCTCTCGGTCATCACCACCGGCAACAGATGCTTCACTGGACTCACTGTTACCTGCACCTCACCCCCACCTTTGGGAAAGAACCCTCTACACACAGAGTCGCACACAGAGTCGCACACAGAGACACACACAGAGACACACACAGAGACACACACAGAGACGCACACAGAGACGCACACAGAGACGCACACAGAGACACACACAGAGACACACACAGAGACACAGACAGAGACACAGAGAGACACACAGAGAGACACAGAGAGACACAGAGAGACACAGAGAGACACAGAGAGACACAGAGAGACACAGAGAGAGACAAACATAGTTTAGCAGTGGAGGAAACCATCTGGAAAGACCCCTTGACCCCGGACCTCTGACCCCTGACCCCGGACCTCTGACCCCGGACCTCTGACCCCTGACCTCTGACCCCGGACCTCTGACCCCGGACCTCTGACCCCGGACCTCTGACCCCGGACCTCTGACCCCGGACCTCTGACCTCTGACCCCTGACCTCTGACCCCTGACCTCTGACCCCTGACCTCTGACCCCTGACCCCTGACCTCTGACCCCTGACCTCTGACCCCTGACCTCTGAAAGCATGATTTGTACTCACCTCATCTTTACGTCACAGTCAAAGTTAACTCCAAACTTTTCTACGATTGGTTTAAATATCTGAAAAAGAAGGAAGAGATTATTTCACCACGGCCTCAGGCCTCAGTCCTGGGCCCGCGGCCTCAGTCCTGGGCCCGCGGCCTCAGTCCTGGGCCCGCGGCCTCAGTACCTTGAGTGTGTAGTCTATCTGTGGGGCCATCTCTGCGTTGGTGCCTCCTCTCAGACAGAGGTGTGTGGTTCCGTCTGAGAACAGGGCACAGGGCAGTGCCACCTGCAGCAGCAGACACACACTCCTGAAACACAAGGATCTTTAATTATATACACACAGAACACTGAGGCGCCAGGGTCTAGACCTGAGAGACTCCGGCGCCAGGGCCTAGGCCTGAGAGACTCCGGCGCCAGGGCCTAGGCCTGAGAGACTCCGGCGCCAGGGCCTAGGCCTGAGAGACTCCGGCGCCAGGGCCTAGGCCTGAGAGACTCCGGCGCCAGGGCCTAGGCCTGAGAGACTCCGGCGCCAGGGCCTAGGCCTGAGAGACTCCGGCGCCAGGGCCTAGGCCTGAGAGACTCCGGCGCCAGGGCCTAGGCCTGAGAGACTCCGGCGCCAGGGCCTAGGCCTGAGAGACTCCGGCGCCAGGGCCTAGGCCTGAGAGACTCCGGCGCCAGGGCCTAGGCCTGAGAGACTCCGAAGCTGTGCTTTGTGTGTGTGTGTTGCTGTGCTTTGTGTGTGTGTGTGTGTGTGTGCTGTGCTTTGTGTGTGTGTGTGTGTGTGTTGCTGTGCTTTGTGTGTGTGTGTGTGTGTTGCTGTGCTTTGTGTGTGTGTGTGTGTGTTGCTGTGTTTTGTGTGTGTGTTGCTGTGCTTTGTGTGTGTGTTGCTGTGCTTTGTGTGTGTGTGTGTGTGTGTGTGTGTGTTGCTGTAGTTTGTGTGTGTGTGTGTTGCTGTGCTTTGTGTGTGTGTGTGTGTTGCTGTGCTTTGTGTGTGTGTGTTGCTGTGCTTTGTGTGTGTGTGTCTGTGTTGCTGTGCTTTGTGTGTGTGTGTGTGTTGCTGTGCTTTGTGTGTGTGTGTGTTGCTGTGCTTTGTGTGTGTGTGTGTGTTGCTGTGCTTTGTGTGTGTGTTGCTGTGTTTGTGTGTGTGTGTGTGTGTGCTTTGTGTGTGTGTGTGTTGCTGTGCTTTGTGTGTGTGTGTGTTGCTGTGCTTTGTGTGTGTGTGTTGCTGTGCTTTGTGTGTGTGTGTTGCTGTGCTTTGTGTGTGTGTGTGTTGCTGTGCTTTGTGTGTGTGTGTTGCTTTGCTTTGTGTGTGTGTGTTGCTGTGCTTTGTGTGTGTGTGTTGCTGTGCTTTGTGTGTGTGGTTCTGTACCCTGCCGTGTGTGTGTGTGGTGCTGTACCATGCCGTGTGTAGTGCTGTGCGTGTGTGCGTGTGCGTGTGTGTGTGTGGTGCTGTACCCTGCCGTGTGTGTGTGTGTGGTGCTGTACCCTGCCGTGTGTGTGTGTGGTGCTGTACCATGCCGTGTGTAGTGCTGTGCGTGTGTGCGTGTGCGTGTGTGTGTGTGTGTGTGGTGCTGTACCCTGCCGTGTGTGTGTGTGGTGCTGTACCATGCCGTGTGTAGTGCTGTGCGTGTGTGCGTGTGCGTGTGTGTGTGTGGTGCTGTACCCTGCCGTGTGTGTGTGTGGTGCTGTACCATGCCGTGTGTAGTGCTGTGCGTGTGTGCGTGTGCGTGTGTGTGTGTGGTGCTGTACCCTGCCGTGTGTGTGTCTGCTGTGTAGCTTCCTGTCTGGATCTTTCCTGGGCTCAGGCTGATGTCGGTGGAGCCCAGAGCTGCTCCTTGAAGAGTTCCTCTGGAAAGATCTGAGACCATCTGCAGACCACTGAGGTGCTGAGCTCTGAGGGACCAGGAAGGACCATCAACCAGAGAGAGAGACCAGAGTGAGACCAGAGAGAGAGACCAGAGTGAGACCAGAGAGAGACTAGAGAGAGACTAGAGAGAGACCAGAGAGAGACCAGAGAGAGACCAGAGAGAGACCAGAGAGAGAGACCAGAGTGAGAACCAGAGAGAGAGACCAGAGAGAGACCAGAGAGAGACCAGAGAGAGACCAGAGAGAGACCAGAGAGAGAGACCAGAGAGAGAGACCAGAGAGAGACCAGAGAGAGACCAGAGAGAGACCAGAGAGAGACCAGAGAGAGACCAGAGAGAGAGACCAGAGAGAGACCAGAGAGAGACCAGAGAGAGAGACCAGAGAGAGAGACCAGAGAGAGACCAGAGAGAGACCAGAGAGAGACCAGAGAGAGAGACCAGAGTTTGTTTTCCAAAATCTTAACACTTTCAAAAACATATCGTTAGAAGAGGAACATTGCGTTACATGCATTTATAAAGAACTGACTCATACAACCTTCCTGTCTTTTCCTAAATCGCCTGCAGTGTTTTTCTCATCTTCAATACAGAAGTGAGGAGTGGACAAAGAGCTCTGACTGCAGACGCTGCTCCCTCTCACTTGTGAACCAGAGCTGAGAGACTTTAACTCCTCCAGATGAGAAAGACTTCTGCAGCTGGAGAGGGAACCATGACTATTGTGTTTCCATCTTTCGAATGGGAGACGCACGCGCTGCAGTGTTATTGAATGAATCAGTTAAACTTGTATTAGTGACATGTGTGACGCAGGCGCACAGGGACCAGAGTGAGACCAGAGAGAGACCAGAGTGAGACCAGAGAGAGAGACCAGAGAGAGAGACCAGAGAGAGACCAGAGAGAGACCAGAGAGAGACCAGAGAGAGACCAGAGAGAGACCAGAGAGAGAGACCAGAGAGAGAGACCAGAGAGAGACCAGAGAGAGACCAGAGTGAGACCAGAGAGAGACCAGAGAGAGACCAGAGAGAGACCAGAGAGAGACCAGAGAGAGACCAGAGAGAGACCAGAGAGAGAGACCAGAGAGAGACCAGAGAGAGACCAGAGAGAGAGACCAGAGAGAGACCAGAGAGAGACCAGAGAGAGACCAGAGAGAGACCAGAGAGAGAGACCAGTAGTGAGACCAGAGAGAGACCAGAGTGAGACCAGAGAGAGACCAGAGAGAGACCAGAGAGAGACCAGAGAGAGAGACCAGAGAGAGACCAGAGAGAGACCAGAGAGAGACCAGAGAGAGACCAGAGAGAGACCAGAGAGAGACCAGAGAGAGACCAGAGAGAGACCAGAGAGAGAGACCAGAGAGAGACCAGAGAGAGACCAGAGAGAGACCAGAGAGAGACCAGAGAGAGAGAGAGAGAGACCAGAGAGAGAGACCAGAGAGAGACCAGAGAGAGACCAGAGAGAGACCAGAGACCAGAGAGAGACCAGAGTGAGACCAGAGAGAGAGACCAGAGAGAGACCAGAGAGAGACCAGAGAGAGACCAGAGAGAGACCAGAGAGAGACCAGAGAGAGACCAGAGAGAGACCAGAGAGAGACCAGAGAGAGACACGAGAGGAGAAGAGAGGAGACGAGAGAGAGACGAGAGGAGACGAGAGGAGACGAGAGGAGACCGAGAGGAGACGAGAGGAGAAGAGAGGAGACGAGAGAGAGACGAGAGGAGACGAGAGGAGACGAGTGGAGACCGAGAGGAGACGAGAGGAGACGAGAGGAGACGAGAGGAGACGAGAGGAGACGAGAGGAGCCGAGAGAGACGAGAGAGACGAGAGGAGACGAGAGGAGACGAGAGGAGCCGAGAGGAGCAGGAGGAGACGAGTGGAGCCAGAGAGAGACGAGAGAGAGACCGAGAGGAGACGAGAGGAGACGAGAGAGACGAGAGGAGACGAGAGGAGCCAGAGAGGAGCAGGGAGGAGACGAGAGGAGACGAGAGGAGCCGAGAGGAGCCAGAGAGGAGACGAGAGGAGACGAGAGGAGCCGAGAGGAGACGAGAGGAGCCGAGAGGAGACGAGAGAGAGACGAGAGGAGACGAGAGGAGACGAGAGGAGCCGAGAGGAGCCGAGAGGAGACGAGAGGAGACGAGAGAGAGACGAGAGGAGACGAGAGAGAGACGAGAGGAGCCGAGAGGAGACGAGTGGAGCCGAGAGGTGACGAGAGGAGACGAGAGGAGACGAGAGGAGACGAGAGGAGACGAGAGGAGCCGAGAGGAGACGAGAGGAGACGAGAGGAGACGAGAGAGAGCCGAGAGGAGCCGAGAGGAGACGAGAGGAGACGAGAGGACCGAGAGAGAGGAGAGGAGACGAGAGGAGACGAGAGGAGCCGAGAGGAGACGAGAGGAGACGAGAGGAGACGAGAGGAGACGAGAGGAGCCGAGAGGAGCAGGAGAGACGAGAGGAGACGAGAGAGAGCCGAGAGGAGAGGAGACGAGAGGAGACGAGAGAGAGACGAGAGGAGCCGAGAGGAGACGAGAGGAGACCGAGAGGAGACGAGAGGAGACGAGAGGAGACGAGAGGAGACGAGAGGAGCCGAGAGGAGACGAGAGGAGACGAGAGGAGACGAGAGGAGACGAGAGGAGACGAGAGGAGACGAGAGGAGACGAGAGGAGAGGAGACGAGAGGAGCCGAGAGGAGACGAGAGGAGAGAGAGGAGACGAGAGGAGACGAGAGGAGACGAGAGGAGACGAGAGGAGAGCGAGAGGAGACGAGAGGAGACGAGAGGAGACGAGAGGAGACGAGAGGAGCGGAGAGGAGACGAGGGAGACGAGAGGAGACGAGAGGAGACGAGAGGAGACGAGAGGAGCCGAGAGGAGACGAGAGAGACGAGAGGAGACGAGAGGAGACGAGAGGAGACGAGAGGAGACGAGAGGAGCCGAGAGGAGACGAGGAGAGACGAGAGGAGACGAGAGGAGACGAGAGGAGACGAGAGAGAGCGAGAGGAGAGAGAGGAGACGAGAGGAGACGAGAGGAGAGAGAGGAGACGAGAGGAGAGAGGAGAGGAGACGAGAGGAGACGAGAGAGACGAGAGGAGACGAGAGGAGACGAGAGGAGACGAGAGGAGACGAGAGGAGAGAGAGGAGAGGAGAGGAGACGAGAGGAGACGAGAGGAGGAGAGGAGACGAGAGAGAGAGGAGACGAGAGAGACGAGAGAGACGAGAGAGAGAGGAGAGAGAGAGAGAGGAGCGAGAGGAGACGAGAGAGAGAGAGAGGAGACGAGAGGAGACGAGAGGAGACGGAGAGGAGAGAGAGGAGAGAGAGGAGAGGAGAGGAGAGAGAGGAGGAGAGGAGACGAGAGGAGACGAGAGGAGAGCGAGAGGAGACGGAGAGAGACGAGAGGAGAGGAGAGGAGACGAGAGGAGACGAGAGAGAGAGGGAGAGGAGAGAGGAGAGAGAGGAGAGAGAGGAGAGGAGAGGAGACGAGAGGAGAGAGAGGAGAGAGAGAGGAGAGGAGAGGAGAGAGAGGAGAGGAGGAGACGGAGAGGAGACGAGAGAGAGACGGAGAGGAGACGAGAGGAGACGAGAGAGAGACGAGAGGAGACGAGAGGAGAGGAGGAGAGAGGAGACGAGAGGAGACGAGAGGAGAGGAGAGGAGAGAGAGGAGAGAGAGGAGCGAGAGGAGAGAGAGGAGACGAGAGGAGAGGAGAGGAGACGAGAGGAGCGAGAGAGGAGGAGAGAGGAGACGAGAGGAGACGAGAGGAGAGAGGAGAGGAGAGGAGACGAGAGGAGAGAGGAGAGAGAGGAGAGAGAGGAGAGGAGAGAGACGAGAGGAGAGAGAGGAGGCGAGAGGAGGAGAGAGGAGAGAGAGGAGACGAGAGGAGAGAGGAGAGGAGAGGAGCGAGAGGAGACGAGAGGAGAGAGGAGAGAGAGGAGAGAGAGAGAGGAGAGAGAGCGAGAGAGAGACGAGAGGAGAGGAGAGGAGACGAGAGGAGACGAGAGAGAGAGAGAGGAGACGAGGAGAGAGAGGAGAGGAGAGGAGACGAGAGGAGAGGAGAGAGGAGAGGAGAGAGAGGAGAGAGGAGGAGAGAGAGGAGAGAGAGGAGAGAGAGGAGAGAGAGGAGAGAGAGGAGACGAGAGGAGCGAGAGGAGACGAGAGGAGAGAGAGGAGACGAGAGGAGAGAGAGGAGACGAGAGGAGAGAGAGGAGAGAGAGGAGAGGAGAGGAGAGAGAGGAGAGAGGAGCGAGAGGAGAGAGAGGAGAGGAGAGGAGAGAGAGGAGAGAGAGGAGACGAGAGGAGAGAGAGGAGAGAGAGGAGACGAGAGGAGACGAGAGGAGAGAGAGGAGACGAGAGGAGACGAGAGGAGACGAGAGGAGAGAGGAGAGGAGAGGAGAGAGAGGAGAGAGAGGAGAGAGGAGCGAGAGGAGACGAGAGGAGAGAGAGGAGAGAGGAGAGAGAGGAGACGAGAGGAGAGAGAGGAGAGAGGAGAGAGAGGAGACGAGAGGAGAGAGAGGAGAGAGAGGAGAGGAGAGGAGACGAGAGGAGAGAGAGGAGACGAGAGGAGCGAGAGGAGACGAGAGGAGACGAGAGGAGACGAGAGGAGCGAGAGGAGACGAGAGAGAGGAGGAGAGAGAGGAGAGGAGAGAGAGGAGAGGAGAGGAGAGGAGACGAGAGGAGACGAGGAGAGGAGAGAGAGAGAGGAGAGAGAGGAGAGAGAGGAGAGAGAGGAGAGAGAGAGGAGAGGAGAGAGGAGAGAGAGGGAGAGAGGAGAGGAGAGGAGACGAGAGGAGAGAGAGGAGAGAGAGGAGAGAGAGGAGAGAGAGGAGACGAGAGGAGAGGAGAGGAGACGAGAGAGAGAGAGGAGAGAGAGGAGAGAGAGGAGAGAGAGGAGAGGAGAGGAGAGAGAGGAGAGAGAGGAGAGAGAGAGAGAGAGAGGAGAGGAGAGAGAGGAGAGAGAGGAGAGGAGAGGAGAGAGAGGAGAGGAGAGGGAGAGAGAGAGGAGAGAGAGGAGAGAGAGAGGAGAGAGAGGAGA